AAAATCCAACAACAATCCTTCGGTCATCTTGTCTTCTGACACAGACAATCATTGCCTATAATGCATTCCCTCTCTGGTATTTAGGTGACTACAGTGCCTTGTTCAGGTGCTATTATATGGAGAACTTCTATTCCAAGTAACAGAGAAAAAAACCTGTAAAACAATCTTCCTTTTCCTCAATAAAGATAAATTTCAAACTGCATATTACAAGTCCAACAGACAGAAACAATAGGAAAACAGACTAGTCAAGATTTAAACAAAATAACAAAAAAAAAAAACCAAAAAACAACACTATTCAGAGGCTCTACTCATTAAGAAGTTAATGCTCTTTGATGCTAGGCCAGAACTGGGTCTGGGAAAGTCACTGATCAACCTGACAATAAGATTCTTTTCAAAACTCTCCAGAATGACAGTTGCTTTAAAAGAAGCCTCTGGTACTTCCCTCATCCACCTTTCAGTGCATACTTTGCAAATTTCTGAGTTACTAGGAATTCATTTAACCCTTGCAATCATTCTTGATTAGCCACCAGCATGTTACGACACTGAAACAAAACATCCTCACATTGCACTGACTCTAATCCCCAAATAATTCCTGCCTTTTCAGCTGCAGTCTGGAGCTCTGCACACTGAAGAGTGCTACAAAATCCAGATTTGTCACCAAGCCAGGCCACCTGTCAGGGCCACTTAACCTGTTTCAAGGAACAAATCTGACCTAAGACCTTACTACATCCTTAACTGATCAAACGATTTCCTAACTAGTCATCTCAAAAAACCACCTGCCAACAGCTGCAGTTACTCCTAAACTCAGGAGGCCTTTTTCCAATTCATTGCTCCTATGGAGAATGCTTTTTCTGTAGTGAAGCCTCTTACAGAAGTTCTGATAGATTATGTGGAAGCCAAAAGGATTGAAATTGGAAAGACAGATAGAAGGATTATGGAACACAGAAATTCACTTGTGGTTAAAGAAAATAAACTTGGTGACCTTCAGCAATCAGGTTACTGGAGTTGCATAGAATTTATTCTCAGAAAATCTCAGCTACATTACCAAACAAGACTTGGCCTGAAGAGAGAAGCCCCTCATTAAAGGTTTATGAGACATAATTTTATTATTTTGAGGCATTTGCTACAAATACCCAACCTTCATGTCATTCTTTCAGTGACATTGTAAAGATCCAACATGGATATGTAGAGGGTAGGGAGAGAAATGCATCGAAGAACAGGAGATTTCATACTTTCCCCTAATGTGTTTATTCTACAATACTTTTATAAATTACTAACAGTTTGTATAACCTAATACCTGAAAGGTAATTTAACTGAGCCTGGAGATTCCTCTGGAGAGTTCACTTTAACAACATCTATTTTGAACAGCACTGAGAAAAGCAGTTGCACAGTTTTATGTTTTTAGTGCAAAACCAAGCCTTGAAAGAATTAAGCACCTTTATAGCTAAAGCTATTATCAAAGGTGTCATTAGAAGGAACTATCAACACATCAGACAACTATTTATATCCAGCAGACAGTTCTATATATAAAAACAAACAAACCAAAACAAACAACCTAAAGAAAATTGCATATAAAAGTTTGTCCTGAGACTGACTGACTGTATTTTCATAGAAATGCTTTACATTTCCTCCCCTTGTAGGATGATTTGAATCTAATTTTACAGACACTGAAATCCACTTATGTTGCAGTCACTAACCTTATATTAATTCAGCATCAGAGAAGAATGTACTCTCTGGCTGATATGTGGAAAAATTCTTTATGAATTCTGTTGTGATGCTTTTTTCATATCCAGGAGTAAGTTAATCACAAGAAAGACTATTTATTGTAAGATCCCCTAGACCCAGCCATGAAGAGCACTGTGGCAGGAGTTCCCCAAGGTTTACACATCAATCAGTAGAAAAGAGTTCATAAAACTGTTCACATTTTTCAAGGGAATTTATGGAAATTGTCTTTTTAATCATGCAAAGCTTTGTGGCCACTGAAAGAGTTTTGCTTAGAACTTTTAAGGTAGACTGATGGAATCCTGCACATGACCTCCACTGAATTCCAAGGGCACTTATTCCCTCCCCAGCTCTAGATACACATCAATGGTTGCACAGACAATCAAGCCACACATACAAAAATTATTGTTGCCCCAAACTGAAAGACTTTATATATGTTTATATAGTTCAATATATTCAGTTTTTAAACTGGAATAGTGAAGCTAAATTTACACCTCAAAGACAAAATTACCCAAGCTAAATTACTTATTGCTAGGTATTCATCATGCAGTAAATTGTTTATGGACATGTCTGTAAATTATTATATTCATCAGCCACTGGCACATCTTCTACCATTCTTGATTGAGCTTTATTACTTCAGCAAATTACATTCTTACAGTTTTTTTTAAATATCATGTATGTCCCAGTTTATCTATGAGAAATTCCCTTGTATAGTGGATATACTCCATCAGTGCGGGGTGTATGGGGCAAATCAACCAACCAACTCGATAATGAAGATATTCACTAGCCAACAAAATGACAAAAGATCTCATTGAAAACATTTCCAAAAACCATTACTTGTTGGATTATCTTTCCTCTGTCTCTGCCAATTCCGACAAGATTTCCTCTACCTACTTACCAAAGGACAATACAGAAAAACTTCTAAAATGCTAGATTAAACAGGAGGAGGAGTTATTGGGCTGGCAGCAACTGTCCCCGAGGGAAACACCGACCAAGACAAAATCCCAATCTGTTGTGCTCTGCTTCACAACCGACTACCCAGACATTACAGTGATCAGGCAGCATGGAATGAACAACAGCAACACAATTACTACCATTTCTTTTTCCTGTTGCCCTTTGTGCTAAACACATCTGACTAAATAAAGTTTATTTTGCATTTCTAACAAGGTTCCCTCTAAGAGGATGTTTTCTGCATTTTCCTAGTAACTACAGATCCTGGTGAGCATCTTCTGGATTTAGTGATTAAACCCCAATTTACAGACTAAACCTTTTGCAACTAAAAGTGAGTAGATGATCTCTGCTCACTACAATAGCACAAGACACTATATGACATCTGCTGGAGAGTGCTGGAAGTGATTAATATTCACTCTGTTGAGGGGACAGTTTCCAGACCCTGGTAGGTTCTGTAATTTTGCCTTTTCCAGGAATTCCAGCCCACCTTGCTCCAACAACTGTCCTGCAACCACTTCTAGGTAAACACCTAGCATAGAGAAAATACATTATTCACACTGATTAATTCATTACATGCATGCAAGCATGAGATAGCTGACCCTACTACTTCTCTCCCAAAAGTCACAAAGCCAAAAGAGCACACATGGTTGAACTGTCAAGCAGTATTTTACAGAGGGGGGAAAAAAACAACTACACAAACAAAGGAAAAACAACCCTACACCACAAAACCTACCAAAACCAGATTTTGGGAAGTTTGCCAACTTCTTCCAACATTGCTGAAACAACAGCTGGGCAATAGCCAGTGACTGCAGTGTTTCTTCCAAGAAACACAAGCACTGACTGGCCAGGCCATTGAACCATTAGAAATACATATACCATGAACTCTTTTCCTTAGTAGGATAATAATTTTTGTCCTTTTCCTGTAATCCCCAGTGTTTTATGAAGATTCTAAGAACTCAATAATTCTTGGTACCCTTCTCTGATTTCTAAACTGATGGACTTGACCACTCATTTCAAACCACTGGCAGAGGAAGGAAGGAAAAAGCAGCAAATGAGCAAAGTGCAATTATAGAATTGTTATCCCCTCAGAAACCAGACTAAAAAAAAATGAAGAAATCTTTTTTTTTCCATAAAACATACTGTAAAATCTTAGACTATCTCAAAGATTTCCTGACTATAGACATATCCACATGCTATAAACTATAGAAAATTTTCACATGGATACACAAATTTTATGAGTACATCTGCAATTACAGTAATATTTGCTATTGTAATACATAATGTGAAGGTCCTGAGACAAAAAATAGGTTGTCACATTATTACAAAATATTTACCTTGTATGTTATCTTGTTCTTGGTGTGATTGGGCACCCATAAAATTTTTCGAGTGACCTTTCTCACTTGGCAATCTATCACAACACTCTGTGCCAGAGGTTTCTTCCCTATTCCCTTAAGACTAAAGATGTTTTGAATGCCAGCTGTAGCATTTTGCAGAATCAGCCTTCCCTATGACAAAGAAAGGAGATTAAAAAAAAAGTTTCAGACTGTAAAGTTCCCTTTGGTTACCAAAGCAACTCTGTTAGTTTATTAATCTTAAATCCAAGTGACAAAGCATCTTACAAGGACATGTTCCTATTGACTTCTCTAGTCCTTAAGTAACCTTCATTGCTAAACAGAGAAGAAAACTAAAGAAACAAAAGCTTTTATTTTTAAAAGGTAAGAAATTTAACAACATAAAGTCTTCATGTTTCTAGATTTTATATTTCTTTGAAAATAAAGTACTCATCACAAATTCACTTGTGAGATACTCAATGTTATTACTTTATTACCTGGGTAAGGAAGTACAATGCAATATGTGTATTGAAATTCAAACTCCCACAATGCATATCTTTGTGATCAAGGTTCAGAATCTTTACAGAATAATGGGTTGTTTCATTTGAATGAAGGATTTAGTAGAAAAGCAAATAAAAAAGATGATAATGGGCAGTGGGGAAATCTATCATACCTAATCTAAAGGTTTGCAAAGTTAGTTCTTCTGGTTTTTTGGCTAGTGGGAAAGTTTCCATTTCTTTCTCTCAAGCAGATGATTTAGCATTAGTAACTGTTTAACACTTTCATGATTTAGATACTAATGGTAATTTCATTGATAGAAGCATCTTTTCCTAATGTTTAAACTAATTTCCCTCTTACCGTTGTTATGCACTCAGCAACAGGATTGAATGTGAGAGGATACAGAGCTGTTTCACCTACACCCACATTTATTAGAGGAGGGCCATAAAATCCCTGTCCTTCCAAAACTGCTTCAAGTTTCCAGTCCTCACTGGATATGTTAGTCTGAAATAAAAGCAAAGATGTAAATTAGTTCATGCACTGATATTTTTTTCAGCTTTCACTTGCAGGTATCACCAAATCAGAGCACAGTACTCATTTGCTCAGAGTATTGGCTCAGAGCACCTTTGGGGCCAATAAAACAGTGTCTTTTAAAAGTGAATTAAGTAACAATAAATCTCTTATTCCTGGCAGCCAGAGGTACAACA